TCCGGTAACCCCAATGTGGTTGCCAGGAAACCTATCGTTGGATGGGTTACCGCAAATCATTTTGCGGAGTTCCGAATCCCTGTGCCGCAGGTAAAGCCTCATGAGGGGTTTGCTCAGTCAACCGACCGGATCTGACCTTTTGGTTTTCTCCTTTTGGTTTCTGATTCGTAGTGGCCCGAAAGGTGATCACCTTTGAGTTCTGCTTGCGAACTGAGGTTTGGGCTTCCCCCTTTTACAGTCGTGAGCCCTTCATGTTATCTAGGTCCCCAGAATTGTGCCCTTTTGAACCCCACTTTCGGTTGGGAGGGTTCCCCTACTAAATTAGACGACCGAAAAAAGTGGTATACCAACTTACTCAAACCTTTCAAATCTGGAGGACCTTTTGCGTTACTCGCCTTAGAGCGACTTCGCGGACTTCGCTTTCGATCGAAGGCTCCTGACGATGCCTTTGCGCCTGGAGCCCCCGAAGATGCCGGCCGAGAAGATGATCGAGGGCCCATCGCTGCACGGGAGCGAGCGAGCGCGCCGCGCGTTGGCGCGTTGACGCGCGCGGCTGTGCCGGTCAAAGCTTGAATGGGTTCCCGGCCGTGCGGTTGTTTAGGTTTTTAGGTTGGTTTAGTGGTGGTTTCCCTTTAACCCACTGAAAGCTATTAGCGGTTTTCGGTGCCCTCGATTTATTTTTTTGGGTGCTATGATTCATTTGAAAAGAAGGTCGCTTGGTCCTAAATCAACGAGGTCACTTGAGCCATTTAAAGGGCATTTGGACCCTCAGGGTTGCCCTCCCCAGCGGATCCCTCCCCAGCCCGGGCAAATCGAGCCGCAGCGACACGTGAATGCGAATGACAGTCACACCGGGGGGGACCGACGCTGGGCAAATCGAGCCGCGGCGACACTCGAATGACACTCACGCAGGGGGGGAACTGGGGGAACCGACACTTGCATATAAGTACCTTTTCAAGGGGTAAGTGACCTCGATTCGCACCCCCACTGACACTCAAATGACACGATTTGACACTCAGAACGCCATGTTCGGGCCGGTCCGGGTTGGCCCCAATCAAATGTGGCAGTTGTCACAGTTCAACACGGCTAGCTGTTCGATTTCAACAGGATCCCAACCCCTATCAAGCCAAAAAGGGCACTCAACAAACGAATCAAAGGGTCACTTAGGGCATCGACAATCGACACGGCCTTAAGTGCCCTAGATTCAAAAACACGTCAAAAGCCCTTCATTGAAGGAGACTTTTAGCAGGGGATCTGAGGACAGCTTGGAAACGCGTTGCGTTTTTTCCTCGCGAAAAACCCACTGTGCGCAGTCCAGGGCGGTGAAATTTGGGCGGTTTGATTGCATGAAGCCTTTTAATCCCATCAACTGGCTTGGTTTTACGGGACGAGCAAAGCAGCAAGCAAAAAGGCAATTTTCCCAACAGGTGGCAACACAAGGTTGTGCCAAAGGGAGAAATTGAAGCCCCATCCGAATTGTGTTTAATCCCATTTCAAGCCCACAAAACTGTTGTCGGCGTCCAATCACCAGTCAACGAGAAATCGGACGCCCACGGCTGCGGTTTCGCGCTTTCGGCAGGAGCCACTTCGCAGCGATGATGGGCTTGGTGCGCCGCGAGATGCTGCTGCGCCGGAGGCGCAAGCTGCATGGACTAGGTCCCCCAGCTAGGTGCCAACTTTTACCGTTTCTTTTTTGGTTGGGAGGGTTTCCCTACTAAAATACACTACAGCAAAAGGGTAATTACCCTTGTTCTAACCTCTCTACCGGAGGACCTAGTTGAAAGTTTTGGCGTTGGGTGTTCCGGTCCCAACTTTGATGAGCCATACCCACTCCTTTCGGTTTCCCTTTCGGGTCTAGAGTGTGGTTGTTCCCTTTGTGTCTTTCCAACGGCTGGAAGCGTTTTGGGGCTCTCTGCCCAGCTCGGCTCGTTCGGGGTGGGTCAGTTTGGGGCAGCTTGGGAGGTTTCAAAAGGAGGGTTCCAGGGGAAAGGCGGTTGGGGATATCACCTGAGCTTACCTTTGTCTTTTTTTGGAAGGCCCACGGACACTTGAGCTTAGAGTCTATTGTGCAGTCTGGAGCCATAGCCCAAAAGGAGGTTGCAAAATAGACTCCACGTGTCCACCATACGGGGGTGGGTGAAAATAAAAAGGGCTCCGGTAGAACGCTACATCCAAACTCCTGCTTTTTCTTGGGGATCCTCTAAATCGGCTATATTCTGGCCGGTGACATGGTATACACTCTAAGGGGGCCCAAAAACCAACAGGATTGTTGAAGCCACAGCAGATTTAGCTTTTTAGGGGGGTTCACACCAGATGTTGAAACGTGGTGTGTTCACCAGTTTTTTCCAGCCAAAATGGGGCTCTCCAAAATGGATTTACTGTTTAGAGGGCTGGAAATGGGGTTATATCCTCAGTTTGTTTCGAACTTCATGGTGTAGCCTAAGAACCTCACTCACTTCGGTTGTATATGGCTGCAGGTCAAAAATAGGCGACTCAAAATGGAACCCTGGTGGAAAAGTCGATTAAAACCTGCGTAACCCGTCTTGATTTTTGAGCCACACCCATAATGGGCTTTTCCTTTGATGCCCTGGGGCTTAACGTTGGACTCGCAACCGCTCTTCCGTTCATATCATACGACCATTGGGGTCTGTCATTTTTTGGGGTGCGCCCACAATGGTTGTCCTTTTGGTTTCCCTTTAAAAGATACTTGAGTGTTCGGCCAACTTAGTAAGTTGGTATCCTAGGTTACAACCCGCTTATAAGTCCTCCGTGAATGTGAGGTAACCTTGTTGGGGGGGGGGAACAAAAACCAAGTGGCGATCCCCACAGACACTAACTTGGCGAATCGAGCATCCAAGTAGGGTGCCTGGTTTGGGCCAAGTGCTACTGTTGCAGGCGTGGTTTGGAACAGTGATTAGGGAATCCACTTGCAACAGGCACCCCATAAGCCATAAGTTGGGGGCTCAAAAATGGAGCCCTTCTGATTAGTGCTCGCCAATGAGGAACCAGTTGCTACTGTTTGCGGGTACCATGGCTGCCAGGCTGCCACATTTCATGAATGTGGGGTTAAGCTTAGGGGGGGGAACTCGCAAGTACAGACACTCACTTGGCGAATCGAAGATCCAAGTACCATGATTTGGCACCTGACAGGTCCAATTCTACAAGAGAGAAGTTTGATCTTGGCGCCCTCCCATAGGGGTAGTGGACAAACACCTCGCAAACGGGGTCCCCTTCAGCTGGCAGCTGCCCTCCCAAATGGTTTGCCCTGCTAAGTGGAAACATGGACCAAAACCTGCGGTCCAATTCCTGGCGGCAAAAAATTGACCCATGCCCTTATAGTGGAAGGGAGCTGGGTAACTCCCAAAAAGGCCCCGCCTGAGAGGCTTCTGGCTGGTTTGCGTTTGCATCCCTCTCCGGCTCGCTCGCTCGCGGCTCGTTTGCGTCTCTTTCTCTCTTACGCCAGGAGCAAGCTGCTCTTCAAGGCGGTGGTGGCGCGCACTCTGCTCATGCCCCACGCACCAAACGAAAAAAAGTACTGTGGATGGACGCCTGCCAGTGGTTTTCTCGGCTTCCCCTTTTCAGGCTCCCGTCAAAAGATGGGATATGCTCAACACAAAATGCGTTCCCACCACTTAGAAACCATGGTTGAAGTCATTGTTTGTTGGTATTTACAGACAAAATCATGGTTCCGGGGTTTCTTAGGTGGTGCAGGATTGCGTCCATCCACAGTAATGGGGGGTTCGATTCTTTTAGGGGAGAATCAGATCACTTTTGGAGGGGACCCCCGCCCCTATTGATAAACAGGGGGTTGGGTTCCCCACCTACGTGTTCAGCTTCCAGTTGCTGAAATGTTTGTATTTTTCCGGCTGCTGGGTTGAAAGGGCATCTGTCACTGCTGGAAGTATGCTGGCAAAGCGCCAGGGGACTTAAGCAAAGGGAGGTTAACAATATGAAGAAGAAAAAAAAGGGGAGCCGGGTACCCCAAAACTATGAGATACGAGTCCCACTTCCAAGGGTCTCAGAGCCCATAAAAGCCTTGTGTTGGATCAGCATGTGAAAGTTTCCCCGAAAGCAAAGCTGATGGTGTGTGTGTGTGTGTGTGTGTGCGGATCTTTCCTATGTAGGTTCAATCCACTTAAGTAGGTTGCAGCCAGGGTTATAACTAGTGATTTTGACGGTCAAGGTCACTTAAAATGGTGTTGTTTCCCTTTTTGAGCGTTTAGGGGGTGACTTTGATCATGGCAAACACATACTTTGGACTCCTGCACCACCTAAGAAACCGGGAATGATTCGATTCCCCTGTAAATGCCAACAAACAATGATTTCAACCATGGTTTCATTTGGTAGTGCGAAATGGATTTGGCAACATTCCACAGTACTTTCATTTGCTTAAGACTATTGTTTGTTTCCCCTGTTGGTTTTGTCGGGAATTTATCACTACTGGACATATGTGTTTGTTCAATTGAACTTAAGCCATGGAAGAGTGTGTGGCCAGAAGTACCTGGAGTCTTCATGACCCTTAAAAAATGGGGTCATTCGCCCAAATAATGGGGTCATGGACCCATTTTTAATGGGTCAGAAGGAGACTCCGGGTAGTCTTCGCTTTTGGTTGGAGTGAGGTCTTTGCTGCTGGGGCTCCTCTATTGGCAGCTCCCCAACGACCAGCAGTCCTGGCAGAGCGTCATGGGCTTGCTGAACATGGCGCCTCCGATGTTCCAAGCATCGTGTGGATTCGTGTGGATTTCTTTGTGGCTCAAAAATGCGTTTGATAGCCACAAAGACTGGCTGTTTTGTTTGCTCTCCATCCCAAAAGGTTAGTTTGGCGTTTTGTTGGGGGGGTTCAAGTACTACAGGAGTGTTCCGTTTCCTCAAAAATGTGTTTCATTTTCTCTGGGTTTCAAAAGGAATCGATTGCACAGGATTTTTTCCAGGGAACGTATCCGCAATGGAGCTGTGGCCTCCAAAACCATGGGATTCCTTTGGAAGCAGATTCGGGGGTCCAAGGATTGTGGCTTTAGGGCTTTAGGGCTTTAGGGCTTTATGGCTTTCTCGGGTTTATAGCTTTAGGGCTTTATGGCTTTAGGGCTTTATGGCTTTAGGGCTTTATGGCTTTAGGGTTTAGGGTTAATTCTTGTGGCTTTATGGCTCTGACGGAACAAGCTGTTTGGTGGAATCTTGGTGGACTTTCCGAATGCCCACATCTTGACTTTCCGAATGCGCGCAAAGATGTCCATTCCTACAAAAGGTCATCGACCTGCTCAAAAAAGAGCAACCCAGAAAAGCCCCAAAGAAATGGTTGGTGCTTTTCCCTTTTCCCAGAAAGGAGTTTCTTCTTGTTCTCCAAAAAAAGGGGATGCCATTAACACAGGGTCCTGTCCCATAGGGGTCTCACAAAATGCTAAACATTTCCTTTGGATTCCCGGTTTTAGCTGTTGTGTTGGGGGTCGGTCCCTAAAAAGTATCTAGGTCCCCCAGCTAGGTGCCCTTTCTCACCCCTTTTTTGGTTGGGAGGGTTCCCCTACTACAATAGACTACCGACAAAAAATGGGTACCAATATTCTAACCTCTCTGCTGGGGAACTATAGTTGAAGGTTTTGGCTTTGGGTGTTTTGGTCCCAACTTTGAGCCACTTTGGGTTTCTCTTTGGGGTCTGAAGCTCTCTGGGGGACCACTCGTGTCCCGCGCTCAGGTGATGATCAACACCTTCATGACCGCCGGCTTCGGCCTCACCCAAGAGTTGCCCCATGCCTTTCGCCCTGCCTTCCGCGAGGCGAGACCAAACAAGGGGTTGATTCCCCTTTCAGAGGGAAACTGTCTCCTGTTTTGCCTTTTTCACTGGCATGCAAAGAGGGCTCCCGGAAAACTTCTTTAGGGATCCTCTTGGAGAGAGTGTTTTAGGGGTTGATTCCTTTTCCATTCTTTCCAACCATCGTTCTTCTCAAAAACCGGATCCGTTTCCCCGGGGTTCTTGATGGTTTCCTGAAAGGATTCGGATCCGTGGAAAGAATGGAAATGGAAGGTACCCCTAGGAACTCGAGTCAATTCGTCGAATCGCGACGGTGCGGTTATGACGTTATGACCCGGGGGTCGGCGCGGGGAGATTTTCATGTTGGTCTTCTTTATATATAATATAGAGCTGGTCCCTCTGCTTGGTGTGCGTCAACCCGTTCAAATAGAGAGCCAACCTTGACTTGGGCTTCATACTTGTTGAGTTTCGACCATGGTAGTAAACAACAAGCTCAGACTTGTTTTGGGCCACCCAGGAAGCGATAATATGGGTTGTAAATGGGACAACAGGGCCTGGTTGACTTAAAGCGGTGCTTGCCCAAGTAGCTTGAACAATCCAAGAGGGTCCTCCCGAAACAGACCAGCAGACCTACGTGAGATATCTGGGTATAAGCATGAATATGCTCACGTTGATTTGATGTTTAGCCTGAGTTGGCTATGTTACCACAAGTGTAAACCGTGCCCACCTTACTTGGTGCAATTGGCCATACGTCATTTAGCCAAGCTGCCATTTATGCCCGGTGGGGCAATTACTCAGTAGATTGAGCATGGAATTGGAACATGAGTCTAGGATAGCGCGAGTTGAACCACGTTGCATGTTGCTGAAGGTGCAACAAGCTATGGAAGACCTTGTCGAACAGGACCTAACTCCGAACCTGGAATGTGCGGAGAGGGTCACGGGTATGGAATCCCCTGTATGGAATCCCAGTGTTTGTGAGACTAGAGCGACCCATGCCAAAGAGGTCCTCTTTCATGTTCCGAGCTGGGCCGACTCTTTGTCCTCAAAGAAGACCTCATGGTCCCGGTCAGATTTAAACAAACGCCATATCATGGGATTATATGCTTAGGTATCAGTAATATACTACATGATTGTGTTACTGTTATGTATTATTAGTATCAATGCATACACATGTGGGACTATGTTATATATATATATATACATGTGTCAGCTTTTTTGTTGAATGTCTTTTTTAACAATAACACATATGTACATATATATATATATATACACACATGTATATGTATATAGGTAGTATTGTACCCGTGTTGTTTTCTAGGGCTCTCCGCGTTTCCCGGTGCAGGTCCGTGCGGGGATGTACTCCATTACCGCGTGGTTCTGGTCGAAGTCCATCGGGGACCTGCCGGTGGATTTGATTGGCGCGGCCGTCGGCGCGTCTTTGGTTTGCTTGATGACCGGCATCGCACAGAGCGTCTTGGCCTTGACTGCTATTGGGTTGGATCTTTAGACTTTTGTTGGGGGGGAAATCAAGGGGTGTTCCACTAAACCCCCAAAAAGTTAAACTTTTTGCAGGGGGGTCAACAGCAACCAAGTGGCGGGTGCCCTCTAAGTTTGACCCCGGATGAAACCCGTTCTATGAATGGGGGGCTGTTGGGCCCAAAAGTGAAGGATTTTTGATTAAGGGGGGTGCCCATTAACCTCAGGCGTCGCAAAATGGACCGCGGATCCCGGTTGGTTGGCCTGTTTGGGAAAAATGCGGGAGCTGTGGGGTTTGAGCCCTATGTGCACTTTGAAGGCTGGCGGGTGTTTGAGCCCCAATCAAGCCCTGCTAGTTCACTAGAATTGGTTCGGAAATCCACCCTTTTCCGTACTTGGTCGTGTTTTTTTTTGACCATGAAGGTGGGAGGCGTGACAGGGGCGGACTGAGCATGAAACATGGTCTAAACATGCATGTTTTCCGCACCCTGTATGTTCGCCAAGTGGACGTCAAAATGCCGGAATTAGGTGCTTTTGTACCTCAAGAGAAAGAGACTAAATTGTCCCTCCCCGTTGCTTCCTGATGGCTTAGTTGGGTCCCAAGGTGCATTAAATTCCATCCATAGGCCCTTTGGGCCGCAAAGCTATGGGATTTCTCTGGCTGATCCCGGATCTGACACGACCAAGCGGCCCAAGGTACCTCAATTAGCTTCGAAGGGCGTACCAAAAGACCTTTCATGCAACTCCAAAGTTCTCACTCTGGGCATGAAGGGATCTCTTTGGGTGCGCGAAAGCATATCGTTCTTCTGGGCTTTGCAAAAGATTGTGCCATTGTTTATGTTGACAGTGTCCGAACAGGATTGCTGGTTCAAACAGATTGCTCGAAGCCTCTGAAAGTCGAATTCTCTTTGAAGCCAATGTTCTACCTTTGTGACAGGGGGTTTCAAAGTTCTCCAGGTTCTTTGTCCTTTTCATTGGGGTGCTCATTTGTTGGTCTATTTCAAGCATGACTGCCCCAATCTCCCGTGGGTTTTCAATATTGGAGGGGCGGGGTACTGGTAAGTGGCTTAAATTGGAGGTTTGCAATCTTCGGCAATCTTCGGCAACAAGTGTTTTTTTTGGCATACTTTGAGACCATGACCACAAATTGTTTGCACCTATAGGAGGGGTATGCTTAAAACAGACCAAACAAAACATGGGCCCAAGAATTGGGAAAATAATGCTTCTTGTTCCCTTTCGGAGAGTCCCTCTTGTTTGGTTGTTTTGGTTTCTTGTTATCGCCTTTTTATTTTGCCTTTTCTTTTGTTTTCCCTTCCTTTTTTGCGGTGGTCGTCTCTGACTTGTGTGACATTGTTCTGCGGGTATCATGTTGGATCATGTTGGATCATTTGTTGGTGCTGCGTGTCTGTTTGTCTTCCCTGTTTTTGTTCGTGAGTTTTTGTCGGTTCCCTCTTTTTGGTGGTGGGCTTTCCTTGGGAATCAAGTGTACCCTTGTTGGCTTCGAAAAACAACTCCTGCTGGCCACACTGTGACCAGGTAATGTTAACCCCGGATTAATAAACTGGTTGATTCATAGGGGGCCAATTCCTTTTAGTGTGGATGCAGACCACTCGGGAATACCGGAATACCCCGCTAGCGAGACGGGTTCTACTTAGATCCTGGGTCAAAAATTGGAAAGTGGCAAGTTTCAGAGCCTCCAAGGTACGCAGGCGTGCCTCGGCCAGAAAGAAGGCGGACGGACAAACTGAGTTGTTTGCTCTCCGTCTTTCCCGTTTGTTGTTGGGTCCAAGGAAGTCTTCCGTTCAAGCATTTCCCGGGTTGGTTGGGTCCAAGCACAGGAAGTCCTCTCCGGTTTTCCAATGTTTGGTTGGGTCCAAGTACAGGAAGTCTTCGGTTCGAGCATTGTGCTTGATTTTCCCTGTGGTTTAAAGGGAATCGATTTCACAGAACTTTTTCCAAGGGACGTATTCGCAATGGAGGCAGTCTCGGACATCGGCGAACTCCAAAATCATCGGGTTCCTTTAAAAGCCTACCTTTTTTCTACAAAGTCGAGGGTCCAACCTTCATGGCCATAACGGATCTTTGGAATGAACAACTGTTTGGTTGAAACAGCTCGGATTTTCCGAATTGGACCCACAACAAGTTGTAATAACTTTTTGCAGAGGGGTTGTCTCGCCAGAAAACAAGCAACGTGCTGCTTAAGAGCACAAACCCAACTTCTCGCAGCGGGGACACAAAATTAGTGCCAGATCGGTTTTGGGTTCACTATTGACTTAGGTTGACGACCATCGGCGGTTTTGTACCGGCGGAATTTTGGATGGTACCTTTTCTGGAAAGCTGGTTCATAGGGAAGCCAAAAGGACAATGTTCATGCCACGTTGGGTGTCCGAATCCCCTATTGTGTGGATGTCTAAAAATATATTTGGGCCCCATGCCAGTGGGTTTCCTTTTTGTTTCAATTGGAAAACCGAGGCGAAGAGGGTGTGAAGAAAAGCAGACCTCGAGTCTCCATGGCCCAAAGACAATGGAGGTCACTCAAAAAAAAGAAAAGGTCATGACATGTTTGAAGGGTCAGAGAAGACTCTCTTGGTATATCCCAACATTTGATTGTGTGAGGTTCTTGCTGTTTATGCTGCTGGTCATGATCATGGCCCAGATCGGCAACACCTGGGGCTATCTGTGCAGCGCCCTGGGTGGGAGGGCGGAGTATGCCTTCGCGGTGTTTCTGCTGACGGTCTTTCCCTTCATGATCTTCAACGGCTTCTTGATCACCACTGAGAACATCCCCATCTACTTCAGGCAGGCAGCTTTTTTGCTGTGCAAAGATCGTGGTTAAAATACGACCCAAACCGGCACCAATGTGGGTCCGGGCCCAGTTGCTCGGTGGCGCCCGGTTTTCAACATGTTCACATCTTGATTCGAATCGACCTGTTTTTCTCACCCGTCAGTTAGGGTTCTTGGTGGCTCCCAGCCATCCCGTTCCTCAGCTTCTGTTCGCCTTTTAGTGTTTGCTGGTTGGATGTCAATATTTAACCCACTAAAAGTTAGTCACTTTTAGCGGGGGATCAGAAAACGGACAGCCCCGGGTGTTCGACTTTTCGAACGTCCCAGAAAGCAAGGTTTGGGACTGCTGGGGTTGGAGATGGTTGGAGGAGGCTGTGGAAAAAGCGCCCTTTGACACAAAACTAATGATTTGACAAATTTGAACTCAAGTCTCGATGGATGACGGGTGGAGGTCTATGAGAAAGGAGCCTGAAAGCCACGCAGCCGCTAAGAACGTCTGAGATGCCAGTCTGACACGTTGCCGGATCCTTTCGCGCGCGCCCGGGGTGGACACTGCAGCGTGCAATGGAGCGAGCAGCTTCCTTCTTCCGTTTGGTCACTTTGGGCTCTAAGCACACTGTGGGCACTTTGTTTCGGATTTTGAGCGGGGAAAAACGGAAACAAGCGGAAAGCGGCTTTGAGCTGGTGTGGCCAGTTTTGTTCCAGCAAAATAAAATCCAAACAAATGGGAAACAAGCGGACATCGGCGGGAAATTAGGGGAGACACACTGAATAGTTTTAAAAGCCAAATCAGCATGTTTCCACTGGGCATCTTTTCTGGACAGAGCATTTTAGCTCGAAAAAAAAAGGTTGTTTGATCAATCCGGAAGAAGCACCAAACATGTGCCCGAGGAAGTTCTACTTGTGCATGTCAGAGATGCTGCGCAATGTTGTTGTTGTTGTTGTTGTTGTTGTTGTTGTTGTTGTTGTTGTTGTTGTTGTTGTTGTTGTTGTTGTTGTTGTTGTTGTTGTTGTTGTTGTTGTTGTTGTTGTTGTTGTTGTTGTTGTTGTTGTTGTTGTTGTTGTTGTTGTTGTTGTTGTTGTTGTTGTTGTTGTTGTTGTTGTTGTTGTTGTTGTTGTTGTTGTTGTTGTTGTTGTTGTTGTTGTTGTTGTTGTTGTTGTTGTTGTTGTTGTTGTTGTTGTTGTTGTTGTTGTTGTTGTTGTTGTTGTTGTTGTTGTTGTTGTTGTTGTTGTTGTTGTTGTTGTTGTTGTTGTTGTTGTTGTTGTTGTTGTTGTTGTTGTTGTTGTTGTTGTTGTTGTTGTTGTTGTTGTTGTTGTTGTTGTTGTTGTTGTTGTTGTTGTTGTTGTTGTTGTTGTTGTTGTTGTTGTTGTTGTTGTTGTTGTGCAAGCATACAAGAGTTGCGCGCGGAGATGGCGTGCAGTGTTTGCCAGAAATGCTGAACCACCTCAAAAACCCTGGAATAATGATTCTCCCTGTACATACCAACAAACGAATGGTTTCAACCATGTTTTAGGGATGCAAAGAAACGCCTTCCGTAGCTTTTCCTTGCAGTCAGCGAAAGGGTGTCTATCAACATGGCTGTCGGATGCGGTGTCAAGCACTTGGTGGGTTGGGTTGGCTGGGTTGGCTAGGTTGGTTGGGTTGGCTGGCTGGCTGGCTGGGTAAAATTCCAGTCAAAGCCAGAACTTCCAACACCATGGCCGCCAACGGATATCGCCATTGTGGATGTTACGGCGAAACGTGATTTCTATAGATAAGCGAAACATGGCAAGAAACTGAAACATTTGTTGGTCCTCGCACCAATGTTGACCTCGGATTAATCAACTCCAGTTTATTAGTAGGGGGTTGGGGGCCCCTCCAAAAGTGGTCTGATCGCACACAAACCCAGAATCGGACACCCGCCTATCAATAAGTTGGGGTTGATTAACATGGGTACGGGTGAATTAAACCACTAGAAACCCGCAACTGTTGGTCCTTGGTTGAAAATACAACCAGAGCAACCCGTTTCGGGGTCACCCTATTGTTGACCCACCACAATATGAGGTCAACACTCAAAGGCGATGAGCTTCACTTACGTGCTGATTCAATCTCGTCCATGTCAATCAGTGGAACCACATGGAAAGAAGCAGAACAAGAAGCACGAAAACGGCGGCACGAGTCTAGACTCTTGTTGGGATGGGAATCGGTAGTTCGAATCCCAATTTTGACGCGAGATGAGGTGGTCAGCTGTTTGATCAGCAATCCAGGCCGTGTTTGATCTCGAAAGCTGCAACCTGTAGGAAGGACGAGGTTCCATGTCGACTTGAGCCTTGTATTGATACATGCGAGTAAATGGAACACCAACCAACAGGTCTGCAACAGGGCGACCTAACTCACTGGCTTGGAGTCTCATCTCGAAATTTCGGGACCTGCGTTCAATAAGTGACTGAGAAAACCAAACACATCTCACACAAGCACATCTTTTAAGGGGCTGTTTGTTTGCTCCACGCCAACTCGATCCAATTTTTCTCACCACTTGGCATGAGTCAGTAAGAGCCACCTTTGGACCCCCAAACCACGCGGTCAAACCATGGGTACATTTGCTTGGAAGGGTTTCCTTATTAACGTACTGACAATATTGGCTTTGACCTATGAGGTTGAGCATCCAAATAGTCGATGGAAGGCAGAGAAGCTGCCTCGTTGACGTAGATATAGTTTCCCCACAGCCATTGCCTTTTGAAGGTCCATGACGTAGCCACTCGTCACCGCTCGCTAGATGACGTTCGGCCAACATGTGAGAGGGTCCATCTGGACGGAAACATGGAAGTCGGGAAGAAGACCTTACCGGCAACTGCTTCTGGGAATTTGTCTAACCGTCGGTGTGGCTTTTTGTAGGGAAGCCCTTTTGAGTGGAACCCCCAAAGCAGACCTTTTGACCTTTCGGTGTGTCATGGCCCAGATCTTTGATTTCCAGGTCCCCACTAAGCCTTCGGAGAAAAGGTGCTCTCAAGAGAAAGAACCTGAGGGTCCCTTTAGAAAACTTGTCCAAGCCAGGACAACAAACGAACGTCAGGTTCCATGTGAAAAAGGTGCGGTACAATAGGATCTCAAGAGAAACCCATGGTCTCGCCGTCAGGTTCCATACGTGACTGCGTGCGTGGGTACAAAATCATTCTCAAGAGAAACCCCATGCTCGCGCGGCGAAAACACTTTTTCGTTTTCATGAATGACAGGTGGATCGAGTATGTGAGCGCCTTTAAGCCAGCCTTCACGGAGTTTGCCGTGGCGAGTCTTGTATGCAAAGGCGTTTGAAAATCGGGCAGATCTATCTGGAATTGCAGATTTTCTGATTTGCCCCCTTTATTTTTCTCAAGGGAATCACTGCAAGACGTGTTTGTTGTTTTTGTTTCAAAGGGGGTTTAAGGAAATGGAAGAGGCAGATCCCCACCGGAAAAAAAATCAATCAAAAACAAAAAACGTGGGGATGTCTCAAAATGCAGCTCTTGTTTATCCTTTAAGTTGCTCTTTACATTCTATTCTTGTGGTTGGTGTTTGGCCTTTCGTGTCTTTTTTTTTTTGTCACGGGGGGGGGGTGCACCCCTCTTCCATTACTTGAGTCTCAAGAAGACACAACCATTAAATGGTTGTGTCTTAAAAAGACTCCCTTCTCCCCAGCATGGAGGGTGTTCAGTTTCCGTTCTTGACTAACCCTTTTGTGACCAAAAAGGGGGCAAAGCATGGCGTGAGGGATCTTATCCAAGTGGTTTCCCTTTTCCTCTTTGGGGGTGCCCGACTTCAGTACGCAGACACAAACTGTTGGCTTCCGAGCCAAGATGAATCGGGTACCAACTCCAATGCACGCAGACGCCTGTATGAGACTCGGGCAAGGATCCATTTTTCTGTTTAGGCAACCAAGCGCCGCCTCCGATACAAAAACCAAAAAGAACATAGCGAAGGATTACCTGCTACAAGGGCGAAACTCCGCGGATCCACTGGGGCTCGGAAAGAAGCTACACGCGTATTCACGCAATGTGTTTTTGCGAGCTCGCCGAGCCTCCTAACGCGAATACGTGTGCAGCTTCTTCCTGAGCCCGCCCAATGTATCCCTGGCGTTTCGCCCCATGGTGGCAAGCCCTGGCTACCTATAAACAGAAACAAATCCACCAGTGGATTGTTACGAAATCCCGTTTATTGGAAGCCATGGGCCATGGGAATGAAACCATAAGGTTTGTTGGTATGTTCGTCGGGGAATCGCATCCTTGGCTAGGTGCAGGATGTCGTGCATCCGCAGTATTCATCGTGGTTCAAGGTGATTTGTGGGCTGTGCCGAGATGCTCTCAAGCCGGCGTAATCACACGGCTTGAAGGAAGTTCCGAATCAAGGGGGACCCAACCGAACAGGAAAATCCCTGAAATGACCCCCTTGAGAAAATGACCCCCCTGAAATGACCCGCCTGAAACGAGCATCTCGGCACAGCCCAAAAATTTAAACCCCCTTGATTCGGAACTTCCTTCAAGCCGTCCAACCCAAGCGTGCTATGTGCCAGATGCCACTTCTGTGGCTCACTTTGTGAGTTCCGTTTTGGACGTTTGTTGTCCTCCAGTTGCTTAAGAAACCTTTTTTTCGATGTTGCCCTGTTGGTTTTAAAGGGAATCTATCACTATTGGAAGTTTAAAACAAAAAAAAACCAAAAACAACAAAAACAGGGGGATCAAGGAAATGGAAGCTGTTTGGTGTGTATGGACCAGTTTGGCACATGGGGGTTGTCTTACCTGGGTTCTTGGACTTTAGAGCTCTTCGGGTTTGGTGGCCAGGAAGCTGGTTACTTGTTTTGGGCCATTCTCGAGAAATACGTTTTTGGATGTAAACAATTAAACAGTGGTTTGAACACGTCAGGGCTCCAACTAGTGGCAAATCTCAAAAAATACTTTTCCGGCCACTCGAAGTGGTTCCGGCGAGGATTTGGAAGAGCCGATCCACGATCGACTGCCCCGGGGGCGGCAATTGCCCGCTG